GGTGGGGGGCCTGGGGCTGCTAGGGACGGTGCTGAGGGAGATGCCCGCCTGCAGGCCTGCACGGAGATCAGCCTGACTTTCTCCAGCAACAACGTGACGGACCTGTTCCCCGAGATGCCCTTCACCGAGGAGCTCCGCCAGCAGTACTGCCTGGACACGTGGGGCGTGTGGCCCCGGCCCGACTGGCTGCACACCAGCTTCGGGGGGGCTGGTGAGGCTGGGGTGGGGCGGGGCTGTCTCCCCTCTGCACTGAGCTGGCAGAGCTGGGTTCTGAGCTGCCCCGTGGCTCACTGAGCTCGGGCCCCGCCTGGTCCCCCACTTACTCTGTCCCTTTCAGACCTTGGATCTGCCAGCAACATCATCTTTTCCAACGGTGACCTGGACCCCTGGGCCAGGGGTGGGGTGAGTTACAGGCCGTGCTGGACAGTAGCTGCCCCAGGCAGGCTCCCTGCCAGTTTGCAGTCTTCCCAAGGAGCCGCTGTGCCTGTTCCTGTGCCCATGCTGATGCCCACACCTGGGGCTGCTCCTTGCTCCCTCCTGGTTCTTTTCCTGACTTGATGGGACCTGGCCTCTGACTCGCCTCTCTGATGAGAACGTTCAAGGCTATGCAGTCACCTCGAGTTACTGTGCTAGCTGCACCCCATGGCGTGGACCTGCAGGCTCTGGGGGAGGGCTGGGGGCTGACCGCCTGGAGCTCCCACCGCACCTTACAGGCGTCTCCCATGGACAGATCCAGAGAAACCTGAGTGCGTCTGTCCTCAGCATCACCATCCGAGGCGGGGCACATCACCTAGACCTCAGGTGCGGTCCTGTCCTGGGAGGGTGCTGGGCCTGGCCTGGGCCCATGGCTGGACCTGGCTGGGGGTCTTGTGGGGCACAGGTTGGTCTGCCCGCTGAGTGCCCCGCCTGCTCCTCAGAGCATCCCACCCGGCAGACCCCCCGTCCGTCCTGGAGGCGCGCAGACTGGAGGCCATGCTCATTCGCCAGTGGGTCGCGGAGGCTCGGCAGGTGCAGCACCAAGTCTCCAAGGCTGAAAGGCACTTCCCCAGCTAGGACCGGAGACGGCTGAGGGGGCTTGTCGAAGTGACCCCAGGGCTGGCCATGCCCGAGGGAGGGGCTAGCCAAACCCCACGAGGAGGGAGTGGACGCACTGAATGCACTGCAGTGCCACCCTTCCCCATCTGCCACAATAAAACGATCCCCAACCCCAAGTGTGCTGTTTGCCTGTGACGGGCGGGAGGGGGTGGGCCAGCTGAACCACGACACCAAACATCAGAAGCCACCCAAGCCACGCCCCGCCTCCCTTCTATGCCTTGTTTCAATGTCGCCACCACCGTGGGAATGCACCCCGAGAACCCCACACCCTCTGCTGTGGGGGCTCTGCAGGGAGGGAGTTGGCAGTCATGACGGCTGGGACAAGCTCTGCGCCTTCCCAAGCACAGGCAGTGCAGGGCTGGGAGCCAGGCCGAGGGCGAGCTGAGTGCAGCCTGGGAGGCCAGGGGTAGGCGGGGGCTGCCACCAGGGCACCTGAGATCACAGCTGAGAACCCAGGCCCAGAGGACGCGCTGGGAGCCGCCCTCGGCTGAGGAGTGTCAGTGCTCGGAGAGGCCCTGGCCTCTGGGGGAAGTGGACTTCCTGGACGTGATGAGGGCAACCGCTGCCAGCTTAACACAGGGCAGAGCTGGGCCTGTCCTAGGTCATCTGGTGTTAGGGGCAGGGACCCATGCCAAGGCCCAGGTTGGTCTTCTCTGCTGAAGCTGCCCAGGGTCAGTCCTAAGGCGCGTGTGGATGCTGCAGGAGGGGACAGGACACCCCACACCCCAAGAAAGTGACCTCAGGAGACCACACCCAGAAAAACGTGTGTGTGGGGGTGTGAGCGGGTGACCGTAGGATCCTGACCAACCCACTTGCCCCCAATTCCACCCAAGTGCCAGGAGCAGTCAACCCCACACACACGCAGCGGTCAGAGCAGATCTCCTTTATCTCAACTGAAGGTCCGTCCCACTGGGGTGGCCTGGGAACAGGGCAAACCTGTCACCTCACGACCAGACCCCGCAGGATCCCTGAGTCCAACACGTAAACAGCACAGCCAGCCAGGAGCCCCGAGACCTGTCAGGACAGGGTCACAGGCTGACAGCAAGGCTGAGCTGCACTCTGGTGCCCCCTCTACTCCTGCCCCTGAGCACATGGGGTCTGGGGACCCACGGTGGCCCCAGGAGGTGACCAGAGGCCCGGGACCCCATGCAGCCCGTGTGCTGGCTGCAGGGGATGCCCAGGTTTCAGGAATGTACGTCATGATTTAAGGTCCTCGGAGGAGCAGGAAGCCCCGAGGACGGGCCCCTGATCCAGGCTGACTTCCTCGCCCCGACGTCCTGATGGGACGGAACACAGACAAGGAGCCCACAGCCGGGGTGGATACCTGCTGCCCGGGGCAGCCCCGGGCTCCTCTCCAAGCCCAGAGATGTAGCAGCCTGGCTGCCTCCTGGCCTCTGTCACCAGCCTGGCCCGGAGCGTGTCCAGCCAGCTGGGCAGACACCACACGGCCAAGGTCGAAGGAGGGTGGGCCCATCCAGGGCCAGGGTCCAGCCGACGGGCACCCTTGCACACAAGGAGTGACAGGCCCCAAGGCAGTGCCTATGCGGGGGCCCAGATGGGCAGGGGGTGGGCCTCGGTGTTGAACACGTAGGTGTCCAGGCTGAGCAGGTCCCGGTGGTCGGAGAAGAGCAGGTACAGGTATTTGAGCGTCTCCCCCAGGAAGAAGCTTTCCATCTTGTCCTTGGGCTGGGGATTGTGTGGGTCCTGGACGTTGCTGATAGAAGAATAGCCGCCTGTGGGGATCTGCGGAACCAAGGCCGTGCGTCACTGCTGCGGGCACAACCGCTCCCCACACCCAGCCTCAGTCCTCAAGAGGGTCACCCGCTGGAGGCACCCAGAGCTCCCTGCCTCCCCACAGCAAATGGCCCCACAGTGCCTGGGATGGAGGCCTGGAGGTCAGCTTGGCTCCTCCAGAGACCCCAGTGCCAGCTGCCCGTGGGTGACTGGTGGGAGTGCTGCCTCCAGAACCCTGTGGGGGCCTCCCACACGCTGAGGCCATGCGCCTGCACACCACAGGGCAAAGGTCAGGTCTCAGCTCCGCCCAGCAGGTGGTGGGCGCTGGGCAGGGCGTGACTTTCTTTCTCTGAGCTGTGGCACGTGGCTGGGTCTGAGGACAGTGGGAGGCACTGTGGTCTTGGTGCCAGTCCTGGGGAGCAGTGGCCCCGAGGTTGTTTCGGGTGGATCAGGTTTGCCCGGGCCACATGGTGGACCCAGGAGGGACATGGCAGGGACCCTCCCTAACTGGCTGTCTCTCAAACAGTGTGGAGGGATGCACGTGCCCGAGACCCTCGGTGACTCCTAGAAGGAGAAGGTCATCCCAGAAGCCACAGCAAGCCTGCCCCTCCCGCACGCAGCCACCCTGGGAAGGTGACTGTGAGGAGCTGGGCGTGCGTGGGCGGCGGGCGGCTCACCCGTGTGTAGGCGTTGAAGCTCTGGAAGATCTCCCAGCCCCAGTCCTGGTACTTGCGGTCCCCCGTGAAGCGGTACAGGTAGAACAGGCTCTCCACCGTCTCGGGACGCAGCAGGTTGTGCCTGTCGGCCGGCTGGGGACACAGACCGGGTGTGAGGCCCACACAGTGCCCTGCACCCTGCCCCACCGTTTTGGCCCCACTCACCTTGACCTGCACGTCCTTCTGGCTCTTCTGCGCATACAGGTTGAAGTGCACGATCTCGGGGCTCAGTCCTGTCTCCATCTGCCTGTTCATCTGGTAGCAGGTATCCATGAGCTCCCGAGCCAGCTCCATATGGTCAGCGGGCAGGCCATAGTGGGCGCCCAGGGCCAGCGCCCCCGGCAAGAAGCACACCAGGTGGTCCTGAAATTGAAGGGGCTCCTCACTACCACACAGCCAGCGGCCACTCAGGCTCCACCTGGCCCAGCGCCGCCCCAGAGCAGCCTCCCACATCCCCGGAGCCCTCGGCCTCCACAAGGTCAGGAGCAGGACAGGCACCAACACCCAAGCCAAGCACTTGGGCTGTGTGGGCAGACGAGCTGGTGGAAGAAGCCCTGTCCAGTCCCGGGAGCAAGCCTGACCAGGTCTCTCCCCAGCCTCCAACGATGGTGGGGCGCCAGCTGCAGGAGGGGGGGCTGGGG